AAGGGGGGGGGGTGGTTGTGGATATGGGAATGTGTGAGGTTTGTTGGGGAGCATATGGAGTTTGTGGGTGGGTGTGGACTTCCCCTGCTACACACCCCACCCCATGCACAACCCCAGTATAGCTCCCTTGCCAAATGCCCCCCGACCTTGCCGCAGCAGGCAGAGTCCCAAGCAGCACATGGCTCCAGCCAATCCTGGGGGTGGCACATAGCCAGCCCAGTTCAGCCTGCTTGCAGGGCCTTTGGGCCAAACTGGGCTGGCTCCATGGTAGCACATGGGGCTCACAGCACTGCAAGTGGAAACCATGTGCAGCCCCAGGCACTCAGCTGCAGCCACGCACTACCAGGGCTTCTGCCTGCCCTCGCCAGGTGCACCCTGAGGGTCTACCACCAGCTGTTGCCACCATGGGGTGGGGGAGGACATGTAGCAGGGTGGCCTACACGCACCCACAAACTGCACACCCAATTCCCCTCTTCTGCACGCGGAAGCTTCTCTTCCCACTTACCAGCTACACCCCAAGAATTACGTGATTATGCACAGTCATGTTTTACGTGCAAGTTTATGTGGGTGTATAATTGTCTAATTCCCTGGTGTGTAAATTATGAGTAGACCCTAAATGATCTCTCCCCCTTCAGGCTGCAATGTGGCATTCAAGGGCCAGAAGCAAAATCTTTTTTTTTTTTTTTTTTTAATGGTTTCCCACTGGATAATCCCAAGCACCTAGTAAAGGTTAGGTGATTGCTGGAAGCAGGTTAGTCAACATTGTGCATTCTGCCAAGTAAACCTTTCTTTACTTCCCCATCTACACCATTAATATTCTACTCTTTCCACTGTAAGCATTGCTGGCCTACCAAAAACAACTGGAATTAAATTTAAGACCTGAGCTGCCAGGATGTTGAGGAAGTCTCCTTTACCAATCCAATATATTAAAATCAGCATGACTGCTCCCCCACACTCGAAGGCAAGCATGAATTTATTAAACGTTTTTCTAGACTAGATCTGCTCAGAATACTTCAGGATTATGGCACTGAGGAAAGGAGGTTAATGAAGATTAACTGCTTTTTTGGAAGACCTTATGTATATATTAAGCATCAGTCTACTTTATGCACAAATATGCATGAACATACAAGAATATCCAAACTTTCAGTGCCTAGAGCTCAGTAGTTTCTCAGTGAAGAACCTTACATGGAATGAAAACCAGCTTAAACTTTAGAATTAAGGAAGTCTGTTTGACTTTGGTTAAATCAAGTTTAGTAAACTGGGTTAAGATACTTTCTGGCTAGAAGTTAAGGGGAAAACTGTGACACTGAATCGCTCTTAAGTTGTTTCAATACAGTTGTACCTGTTAGCTATACCTTAGTACCTGTCATCATCATCAGCTGCTGCTCTCTACAAAGAGATTCCCCATTCTCTGGTCAAAAATCATACCTCTACAATCTTCTCCCTGTTTTTTGTTGGATTCATCGGTGGTTCTGTGAGTAATATTTTACAGTTTTTTGTGTCAATGTTAAGTTTTTCTGGTCCAAATGTATAGTCCCAGAGGTGTTTCATATCATCCCAGTTCCGGACTATGCCATTCTCCATTGGGTAGTTAACTTCCAGCATGGAACGCAATTCACTTGCTTCATCACCAACCATAAGATCCTATGAAGTCACAATATTGAGAGATGTGTCAAAGTTTTTAATTATTCTTTTGCAGTTTGAATATTTTGTGCACTCTTCAGTTAAGTATATGCAAGCTAATTTCAAGGCATGAAACATTCTAAGTACACACAATCAGATGCAAGTTGGAACAAATTCTTCTCTTACTATATCAAGCTGGCATACACCCACACTAAATAGGCCTTTTTACTTTGAGCCATGTTTGGAAAATTTTACATGTTTAAATAAACCTTACCTTAGGAAGCTGCCAATATACCCTGTGTATTTTGTCACAATGAAACACTAAATAGACCTTAGTATGTATAGACTCTTCACCACTGATATCTCCAGGATTCCTTTATCAAATATTCATATTTGAAAAGACTGAGATGTAAAATAGCACATACGGGTAGTAGGTGGGGTTGGCAGAGTAATTTTCCATGCATGCTGCAATCTTCTGTGCACATTACCAAAATAGGAATAATGAGTGATGCATAAGCATACAGAACAGTAGCAAAAGCAAATAAGGGACTGGAAGTTCCACGCTAGACGTTGAAACAGTAGTCTAGATTAGACTGTGCAAGTTGGGTTTTAAGAGGATAGACAGATAATTATAACCCAATTATATCCAATTTGTTCCACACCAAAAACTAAAGAACCCAAACCAAGAAAACCCAGTAAGATACTTTCTTATCTTATGAATCACATGTGGGCATAAAGTTTGCACAGTAATTTCCAAACTGATTAAATAGCCCTTATATTTATTCTTTACTTGGAACTTAGTTATGCGAAATATAGCGCATCTAAGTTAGCAGTACAAGAATAAATGTATTTGCCACAAGTATAAAGGAAAGCTGAACAACAAAAGGTTACTTTTGGTCGCTCTTCCCTATAGATTATTACG